AAGAAAGAAAGAAAGAAAGAAAGAAAGAAAGAAAGAAAGAAAGAAAGGAAGGAAGGCAAGAGAAATAGAAAACATAAAGAACAGTCCGCTAAGGGTTAGGGTGGTTGGGGTGGCTGGAGGAACCAGAACCTGGAAAGCAACTGAGTGAAATCAGTAAAGGGATGGGATAAGTCTGGCAAAAATAAAAATAAAAAGTCCCTGCATTCTCCCAGAGGAAACCCCCTCCCCCCGACAAGGTTGGGAAAAGGAAGGTGGCTGAAAAAGCAGAATGGTGTCTTGTCAACAGAAGACGAAGGACTGCTGTGCCTATTGAGACCCACTGACCTCAAGTTCAGAGATGCTTGTTGAGAAAAGCAAGTGACTTTGTGGAAAGAAAAAGGACAGAGAAGGAGGGGATATAATAAATGTCTTTAGACTGAAGCTGTAAGGCAATAAATGAAGCAAGAAGGTGTTAACAGACATAAATAATAGAGGAGAGCAACACTAAGTACTACAGCTTAGTAGTACTTACTAAGTACTACAGCTTAGGCAGAAAAACCTGTATAGTTTGTACATAAATATGTAATAAAGCCCTGATCTCCCCCCAAGTTGCCATCATCCCTATAAAACAAACCAAGAGACTTAACCAAGAGGCTTTTGTTACTCCCTTAATATCTCTCAGGTACCAAGGGAAAACTTCTTTATTGAACCAAATATTTTGATATTTCCATGATGCATGTTTGCTATTTTTATTTCTGTTTTTTATAGCTGGAAAATTGGAAGCTGCTTTCTACCAAGGTGACTCGTACAATAAATTACGGTATTCTGATGCTAATGTTCTGATGTAGGCAGAAATAAATTAACAATATCCTAAACTGATAGCTCTCCCCTTTCCTCCTCTTCCACTGTTTTTGTGAAGTTGGAAGAAGAGGGAATAAAAGTGGGCAAGCAGAAAAAGGATAAAATTAACAAGGACAGAGAAACATAGGTCTGGCTTTTTCTTTTCTTTTCTTCATTTAAATCATAAAGGCCCTGTTTCCTTCTTTAACAAAGGAAAAGAAAAAGAGAAGGATGCAAATTGAGATCGTAACTTTGAAAATGACTATGACTGCAAGAAACTGGATAACTACTAGATGACAGCAAAATGCTTCCTTGTTGTTGTTGTTGTTGTTTGTATATATAATGGTCTCCAGTTTTCTGTGGCCTTATTTTAATAACTAAAAGAGCAATGTTTGTTTTAAAATAGAAAAAAGGTAAATAGAAAAAAGGTAGGAAATAGGTAATCCACAAACTCCAGGAGCATTATTTATCCTACTTTTGAAATAAACACTAATCCAGGCCTTTTAATGATTTAATGTTGTGCATGTTATTTTTGTTTACTCTTTCCACTGTATATTTTGTAAACCACTGAGTATCATCAAAGGAGTATCACATAAATTTAATAAATATGTACTTTTAAATAATTACCTTTAAATAGATAAAGATGTACAAAAAAGTGACAAGAATATTTTTTATAAATACAAACTGTATCATCCTCTATAGAGGGCTAATCAATGAGATCAAGACAGAAAATGAATTTAACTGTTTGTCCTTTGCTGTAATATTGAATAAAAGTTAGCTTCTAACAGTAGCAATTACATTTCATATACTTTCAGGGATAAATTGCTATCTTACAGCACTTGAAAATCTGGGCTTAATCCTTTAAGGGTGTCTTTTAAACATCCCTGCGTATATAGGTTAGTTTTCTACCTTTTCTTCAAAGAATTCTGTTATAATAAAGGGACAGGTTGAAAATGAGAATAAAAATAGACATTAACAAAAATGAAAGTATTTGTATTCAATCTGCTTGCTAATACAATATATTATATAAATTCATGAAGAACCGGGTCTTCTGAAGTAAAGTAACACAGCAGGAATAGGAAAGTTTTTAACAATGTGGGCTCTGAGCACTTGAAATATTCTATGGCAGAGGGAAAGGTCTTTTGTTTCTGTTTGGAAGTTATTCTAAAACTGTATTATAGGTGAATTGATGCTGAATAATGCTTTTAATATGCCAGGCTAGCTTTTCGAGGCTTAGTATATTAATAGCTGATCAACTGGATATCAAATTGTTGATCTGTAATTAAAATAATTGAATATCATATGAGGAGATTCTTCCATCACCATCAATATTTCCAGATTTAATTATTAGCAAAAATATTCATTAAATAATTCAGAAAACTATTTAACAGTATAGTATATGGATTGAAATAAAAAACCAAAACAAAAGAAACCTTATTGGGGACTATGAAAAAAATATATGATTTACTAACAAATTTCATGTTTATATATTTTAGCAACAATTTTCCAACTAAGAAGCCGAGTTATATGTGAAACCAATTAATAAAAAGTCTTGCAAAACAGTTGTATAAATATTTCATTTTACCAAATCTTTTGTGTTTTAGATGCAGTCATTTGTATCAGGTAAGTTTTTAAAAACCATATTTGGTAACATTTTCTGTGCCACCAAATTTATTAATATTTAATTTATCTTAAAAGAGAAAGTATAATTATTTGACACTCACCAATTACAGTTGGTATATTAACATTTCATTCAAAATATCAATGCAATTCAGTTTTTTAGAAGAATTTATTCATTTATTTATTTGATTTATATTGCCACCTATTCGCCCATGGTGACTCAAGGCGGCTTATACAATGTAAAATCATCTTTAAAACAAAAAATAAAAATAAAAACAATAAGAATTAACAAAAAGAATCAAATAAATTAGTAAAGTATAATAGAACAAAATTTGGGGAAAAAAACAAAAAAACCAAAAAAAAAATAAAAAACAAAAACCAACTCCCCTACCCCCACCCCGACGACAGCAGGTCACACTAGCCATTTGATGGGTTCCATCCCTCTTTGGGTTTCCCAGGCCCGCTGGCAAAACCAGGTCTTCAGTACCTTTCGGAATAATATTAATGAGGGGGCTATTCTAATCTCTGGGGGAATGATGTTCCAGAGAGATGGAGCCACCACAGAGAAGGCCCTTCTTCTAGGTCCCACCAGGTGTATCTCCCTCGGGGTGGGACCCGCAGCATTCCCTGCCTCCTCGCTCTAATGGGTCAGGTAGATGTCACAGGCAAGAGATGTTTCCTCAGATAACCCAGACCCAAGCCATGAAGGGTTTTAAAGGTGACAACCAGCAACTTGAATTGCACCTGGAAGCAAATTGGCAGCCAATGCAGCTCCTGCAGGAGAGGTGATACATGTGCATATCGGGGTCTGCATAAAACCATACAGGCCGCTGCATTTTGCACCAACTGGAGCTTCTGGATGCTCTTCAAGGGCAGCCCCATGTAGAGCGTGTTGCAATAATCAAGACGGGGGGCATGATCAGGGCATGAGTGACTGTCAGTAGGGACCGCTGATCCAGGTAAGGGCGTAACTGATGCACAACCCACAGTTGCGCAAAAGCTCTCCTGGCCACGACCGCCACCTGTTCTTTGAACAGGAGTCGTGAGTCCAAGAAAACCGCCAGATTACTCACAGGGTCTGTTTGGCGTAGTGCCACCCCATCCAAGTAGTTCTTCCGGAACCAACAAACCCCAGACCCAAAGCCACTCAGTCGTGCATGGGTTTAGTTTCAACCCGTTGCTCCCCATCCAGCCCCTAACAGCCTCCAGACATTGCGAGAGGGAGGACACAGCCACACTTAACTCACCACGGGCCGAGACATACAACTGAGTATCATCAGCATATTGGTGATATCTCAGTCCATGCTGATGGATGATCTCACCCAGTGGCTTCATATAAATGTTGAACAGGAGCGGAGAGAGTACCAAGCCCTGCGGAACCACGCAAAGCAGTGGGCAAGGGTTAGATCTCTCCACTCCTACCAACACTGACTGAGAGCGGCTGCTGAGGAAGGAAGTGAACCAAGACAGCCCAAGTCCTCCCACTCCCATCCCCTGAAGCCGCCCCAGGAGAATCCCATGGTCAATGGTATCAAAAGCTGCCGAGAGGTCAAGTAGAGCAAGGATGGATGCACTACCCCCATCCCACTCCTGCCAGAGATCATCCAAAAGTGCAACCAATGCTGTTTCTGTCCCAAATCCAGGCCTGAAT